CTCATATATATGAGTTATATATATATATTACTCTTAAAACTGTATCAAATAAGAAATAAAGACAAAATTACAACAAATATTGAAGAGTCTTTAGGATATGTTGCAAATATGAATACATATGACACTAATCATCTCCACATGAGCAGTTCCTCTCCAGTAAATTTATATTGCAGTAAAAAGTGATGTCTTACAGTTCTCACATATTTTTTCATCATGTTTACTGCAATACCATAAACCTTGAATAACACCATGGGAACCCATGCAGAGTGCCACTAATGATGCTCAGAGTGCTCCAAGAAGCAGATAAAAGTCATGATATTATAATAAAAAGTTGAAATGCTTGATATGTACCATAGATTGAGGTCTGCAGCTGCAGTTGCCCACAATTTCAAGATACATGACTCCAGCATAAGGGCCTTTGTAAAAAAGAAAGAAAAGAAAAAGAAAAAAAGGAAAGAAAATTTGTGAAGTCATCACTGCAGCTATGCCAGCAGATGTGAAAACCTTACACTTTTTGCAAACTGTCTTTTTATCTCATTTTGAAAATGCAGCTTTTATGTGGGTGCCGGGTTGCTATAAGAAAGGTATACCTATAGACTAATATGAGTCAAGAGAAAGTGAAGTCATTATATGACAAAGCAAAAGGAAGGTGAAGAATCTAAAGCTGAAGAATTTAATGCCTGCAAAGGATAGTTTGATAATTTCATAAAGATGTTTGGCTTTAAAAAAAAGAAAAGAAAAGAAAAAACAGTCACTCCCAGCCTGGCCAATATGGTGAAACCCTGTCTCTACCAAAAATACAAAAATTAGCTGGACGTGGTGGCGGGCACCTGTAGTCCCAGCTACTCGGGAGGCTGAGGCAGAAAAATCGCTTGAACCCAGGTAGCAGACGTTGCAGTGAGCTGAGATCGTGCCACTGCACTCCAGCCTGGGCAACAGAGTGAGACTCCGTCTCAAAAAAACAAACAAACAAAAAAAACCAAAAAACCACTCACTCGTAAGTGTGGAAGTACACTGGGAGTTTCCTTATTTGCCACTTGACTGTCCTAATCACACTGCAGCAAAGAGGCAGAGATATGAGAAATAGTGCTCCAACCCTACTGGTCAGTTTCATAAGAGGCATCAGCTTAGAACTGGGTGTTTCATGGAGTATAAAGGGTAGAACTGAGTGTTGGCATATCATTTGATTCAATGGGGCCTAAAAAGCGGGGCAGTTGGGAAACTGGGAGTTTATATAGATGTAGTCAAATTGTCGCCGCCTTCTGGACTTCATTTTCTCTTAACTGTACAATAGAAGGTGGGGTAGTAAACACCTATAGGAGTGGCATTAGGATATGGTAAGACTGTAAGCACAAGGGCAGGGAATGTTTCTTTGAAATGTTCTGCCTCATTTCTCCTCCTCTCCTCTCTCTCTACCACAACAGCAAAGCTGAGCTGGCCTGATGTGGAAGGTATTTTTATTGGGCTTTCCAAGATTCTGGTAATGTATTAACCTTTCAGTGTAAGAGGTGGATTTCTTTTGCCTTTGAAAGTCCATGAGAACATTTAAATTTACAATGCAGTTAATTGGTTGTTTTCTACCACTGTCTTTGAGTTGCCCACCCTAAAAAAATTTACTCCAACACAAAGTATTAGTAATCAATGTAACATTTACTAATAATTTCATAGGGAAGAGAGGAGATGGTTTATACTGTACCACACAAGAAGTAACTCAAGAAATCCCCCTATTGGCTGGATGTGGTGGCTCACACCTCTAATCTAGCACTTTGGGAGGCTGAAGTGGGTGAATGACTTGAGGTCAGGAGTTCAAGACCAGCCTGGCCAACACAGTGAAATCCTGTCTCTACTAAAAATACAAATTAGCAAAGGCCGGGCGCGGTGGCTCAAGCCTGTAATCCCAGCACTTTGGGAGGCCGAGACGGGTGGATCACGAGGTCAGGAGATCGAGACCATCCTGGCTAACATGGTGAAACCCCGTCTCTACTAAGAAATACAAAAAACTAGCCGGGCGAGGTGGCGGGCGCCTGTAGTCCCAGCTACTCGGGAGGCTGAGGCCGGAGAATGGCGTGAACCCGGGAGGCGGAGCTTGCAGTGAGCTGAAATCTGGCCACTGCACTCCAGCCTGGGCTACAGAGCGAGACTCCGTCTCAAAAAAAAAAATACAAATTAGCACTTACGCCTATAATCCCAACACTTTGGGAGGCCGAGGCGGGCAGATCGCCTGTGGTCAGGAGTTCAAGACCAACCTGGCTAACGTGGTGAAACCCTGTCTCTACTAAAAGTGTAAAAATTAGCTGGGCATGGTGGTAGCCGGGTGCCTGTAATCCCAGCTACTTGGGAGGCTAAGGCAGGAGAATTGCTTGAACCTGGGAGGTGGAGGTTGCAGTGAGCCGAGATGACACCATTGCACTCCAGCTTGGGCGACAAGAGCGAGACTTTGTCTCAGAAAACAAAACAAAACAAAACCATAGTCAGGTTTGGTGGTGGGTACCACAGAGGCTGAGGCAGGAGAATCACTTGAACCTGGGAGGCGGAGGCTATGGTAAGCCAAGATTGCCCCACTGCACTCCAGCCTGGGTGACAGAGCAAGACTCTGTCTCAAAAAACAAAAAAAGTTCTTATCAAAACGTCACACCTAAAATAATATTTTAATAACATTACTCAGTAGCCTATTCAATTAGTAGCAATAAATTCTGTGTGGGTGGAAGGAGCTATCTAAATAATATTTTTATACATCTCTTTTCTGCCAACAGTGAAGTTCAGTGGAAAACCATGCAAACTGGTAGCCCTGAATTGGACTCTGGACTTTGTCACTTACAAACTGTGTAATCTTACACAAATTACATAACCTCTTTGAGTTCCAGTTGCCTCATCTGCAAACTGCAGTTTTGTGACTGTGTCAACAGTTGTGTGACTGAGTGAGGTATGCATGGAACTCACTGAAGAGACAGGAAAGAAAAGATAGTTAATAAAGGAGTAGTTATTGATCAGTACAAGGAAAATAGTCTGCTTATAGGTGATAGACTGTTCTACAAGCATTGCTTCATATAATACAGTTTTTTAAATTTTCTGGTTTTCTGCCTTTTGAAACTTAAACAATGTTTAGCCTACTGTAATCATTACTAGAATAATAGAAGGAGAGTGGACAAAAGGTTTCTGAAATAGGACTTTCAGTTGGATGACATTTGTATGCATTCCTTTTGTGAGAGTGGAGACCAGATTTTGAGGATGGACTTTGGTCTATGATACTCCCAACGGAAATGATCCTGGTCTGGGCAAGCCTTCAGGAGTCACTGCTCACTCCACAAGAGGGTGCACAAAGACCACACAATACTGAGTTTTGAAGCCAGAACTCTTAGATGATGTCCAACTTTCACTAGGGCCTTGTCCTCCGCAGGGAGTCCCATAATCAAGAATCCTGATTTGTTCTCTCTGCATTTTCCCTTTAGATGCTGTGAGGCCAGAAGATTCCTGGCTGGATGAATTGGCTACTCCAGCTACTGTATCCTTGTTGTGCAGAGCTGCCTCCTTCAGGAGTGTCTGATGCCTGTGGTCCAGCAGAGCCTCACAAACCCTGGACCCCAAAGGAACTGCTCAGGAACCCTGTGGCACTGCTAACCACCTGTGTCTGAGCTGGGCTCTTCTGTCTTCTTTCAGCTATTTCCTCCTGCCTTCATCTTTTTTGCTCAGTTTTCTCCGATTCCTTCTCAGCTCCCTTTTCCTTACCCAGGTATATCAACCACAAGAAACCAGGGCTCCCCTGCATCAGATGTCTCTAGGCAGTAATAATAAAATCCTCCTGCTGGTCCCTTGGACTGCCTGCTTCACAGACATACTGATACAAAACACACACACACACACACACCAGCTACAAATCCTCCTGCTGGTCCCTTGGACTGCCTCCTTCACAGAAATACTGACACAAAGACACAAACATACACACACACACACACATGTGCGTGCTAATCCCTCCACGGTGGCCGGTGCCTGGGAAGGGGCCACCTGGGACAGCAGTCCTGGGAGGCAGCTGTGAGGCCTGACCTCAGCATAAGTCTCAAGTCTGTGCTACACCTGAAGGGGGCATATTTACTCCCATGACTGAGGATACAATGTCAAATAGCATTGCCCCAGACCTGGGCAGTCTCTTTGGGGCCAAAGTTCTCCTCAGGTGCTGGGAAAACAAGGTAAGAAACTCCAAAGCCAACGCTGGCCACTGTGTGTGAGAAGATGCCCAGCTTCCAGAAATCCTAGCACTCTGCTGGCAAAGGCCCTGCAGTAAGATTCTTCCAGGCTTGTTTGATGATTTTCATGGCAGGAGACTAATTCAATTGTTGTATAACTCTGTTTAAACACACAGAAAAAAGAATCTTGACAAAACCCTCTTAGTTGGACTTCACAACACTGTGAAGCACAAACTGCCCCAAGGGCAGCGTTGTCTGCCCCACCTACTAGATTCCCCTTCCCATCTCATCAAGGCGGGGCAAAAACCACTACAGTTGTCACCTCTCTTCTCTCCCTTTGTTATGCTGTATTAATTGCTTTTAATGGGAGCTTTCTCTGAAGTTCGGATATGTGAAGGTCCAAGAGGCCTGTACTATACCATTCCTTGAGCTCAGGACACAGTTCCTGATGTGACTCAGAAAATATACTAGACCCTACAGTTCGCTAGGAAAAAAAATCTAGGTTATCAATTTCCCCCAGATAATAATCTCAGCTTTTCCTACAACAGATACAGGGCCTATTTTTATTAAAGAATGAGAATTACAAAATGGGAAATTGAGAAAGAAACTTAGAGATCACCCATCCTAGACCAAGGGTCTCACTTTACAGAAGGCAAAGATGAGGCCAGAAAAGAGAGGTTACTTGCCTGAGGTCACACAGCTGGTTGGTGGAAGATTCTGGGCTGAAATCCAGTTACCCTGATTACCAGGTGAAGACAGTCCTGTTCACCTCAGTTTAAAGCGTTGTGTAGAAGCCAGTTAATTTTTTTTCCAATGAAGTCTGCATGTCTCTATTTGTGAATGTGAGTGAGAATACGAGGCCCTAGAAGAGGTACAATATCTCTGGAATTTACCAATGCTTGGCAGGTGGCAGGTACATGCTAAGAAAATATTTATTGAATGAATGGATGCACCTGTGGGAACGCAGAGAAAGGGAGTGGATATATGCCTAATATTACCCATGACTCAAGACTCAACAAAAGCAGACAAAGCAGGGACATACAGATATCAGGAGTATATTTTTCCACTGGGTATGAAGCCTGAGTGAGGGAAGGGAGTATCTATTTATAAGTGATGTCTGAAAGCATCAGGTGTGCTGAGTCCAGTCTGTGATCCCAGGATTGGACTTAACTTCCTTGGGCTCCATTTCCTAATCTTCCTTAACATTAAGTAACTAGAGTGTATCTCCCAGATTGTCCCAGATCTATGTCAGGCCAAAGGCCTCAAGGAGGGAATGGATTTCATAGGAAAGTCATCTTACCTTGTGATGGTGTGCTCTTTGGGTGGTAGGTCCCCGTAGTGGATAGAAGGCCAGCATTTCCACCTCTTAGCCTCTAACACATTTACTCCCAATCCCAAGCTTCATTTCTCCCTTTCCTTTGTTCACAAGAGTTCATTCTCTGGACTGATAACTTGGAAGAGAGATGCAGGATTCAGTTTTGAATTGCTTGTAGCTCATGAAACAATCTTGGTATAACAAGTGAACTATTTAAATTCTTAGCACCTATCTGGCCATTTATTTCATTTCATATACCAGTCCTTATCCGGTAACAAAGTATTGAAATCCTGTAACAATTTATTCTTATCTGCTATAGAAAATGTCTCCCCAACCTCTGCCAAAGAAGCTGGTTACTTAAATTGCATTTCATACTTCCCTCCCTGGACCACCCACCACCACTTAGGAATACATCTGCTGCAAAGCTCCAGCGCTGCTGCATCAGATAGATAAAAGGCAGAGGGAATGGACTAGAAGAGGAGGGCCAGCATAAAATGGCCCCTGTCTTTTGGGTATTAGGTTCCAGACACTTGACAGGTACTCTAAGGATTGCTGGGCAGATTCTGCTGCTTTCAGTATCAAGGAGCAGGCTTGGCCTGGGTCCACAATCCCTACAATGAGGAATTTCTGCCATCATGGCTGGAAAGCATCTCAGGTGCTGAGCCAAATTATACTGTGTTTCTCTAGACATGGGAATTAACTGGTGCTAAAGTCTTACCTTTGAAAAATAAAAACCAGATGAACTACAAGGTCAGATACTCCCACATCACCATAATATGCACTGAATTTTGTATGCAGAATGGGTTCACTTAAGTTCTCCATGATCTTATCACTTAACGGATAACATGCTTGTGAACCCCAAAAATCTGCGACAGGTCTCAGCTAATTTAGCAAGTTTATTTTGCCAAGGTTGAGGGTGCGTGCCCATGACACAGCCTCAGGAGGTCCTGAAGACGTGTCAAAGGTGGTCAGAGCACAGTTTGGTTTTATAAATTCTAGGGAGACATGAGACATCAATCAACATATGCAAGATGAACACTGGCTCGGTCTGGAAAGGTGGAACAACTCAAAGCAAAGGCAGGAGGACCCGAAGTGGGGAGGGGGCTTCCAGGTCATAGGCAGATAAGAGACAAATGGTTGCATTCTTTTGAGTTTCTGATTAGCCTCTCCAAAGAAGGCAACCAGATATGCATTTATCTCAGTGAGCAGAGGGGTGACTTTGAATAGAATGGGAGGCAGGTTGGCCCTAAGCAGTTCCCAGCTTGACTTTTCCCTTTAGCTTAGTGATTTGGGGGCCCCAATATTTATTTTCCTTTCACATTTCCCCCTTTTTATTTTTAAAAATCTTTTGGAGAAAGTATTTTAGAAGAAAATGAGTCTCTGGTCTCACATTTTGTCTGATCTTTCATGTTTGGGATAGTTTATTCCTAGACGCGTAGGTCCTGAGTTACTAGGAAAGCTCATTTTCAGCAGGTTGTGAAGTCTCATATCCTATGAAGAGAAAATAGGGGGAGGAAGGGAGAAAAACAACATTAGACTGAAGAACAATCCTGAGAAATCAATATAGGCCACATTACTATGAAGTCCACATATCAGTAGGCAGGTATGAAAGTGGCTTAGGTATATAAACAGGTTGCTGTTATTTTCTTCTGAAATTTAGTTGTCTAGCTTCAGTTCACAGGGCTTTACAAAAGCACAACGTAGTTTTTGGTGGTTCCAAATTAGGAAAAATGGGGGGAAAAAAAGGAAAAAAATTGAAAACATTATTTTGCAGGCTTATAGCCAAGAAAAATTAGAATTCAGTCCAAACTGTAGAAAATAATAAAAACTGAAAAAACATTAGGCAAGACTAGAACCTAAAAACAGGTGTTGTATTCGTCAATTTTCATGCTGCTGATAAAAACATACCCAAGACTGGATAATTTATAAAGAAAAAGAGGTTTAAAGAACTCACAGTTTCACGTGGCTGGGGAAGCCTCACAATCATGGCAGAAGGCAAAAGGCATGTCCTACATGGCAGCAGATAAGAGAAAATGAGAACCAAACAAAAGGGGTTTCCTCTTATAAAACTATCAGATCTCATGAGACTTATTCACTACCACGAGAACAGTATGGGGGAAACTGCACCCCCCCCACCATGATTCAATTATCTCCCACCAGGTCCCTCCCACAACATGTGGGAATTATGGGAGCTACAATTCAAAATGAGATTTGGATGGGGACACAGCCAAACCATATTAAGTATACTATAGGTTTTGAAACATACTTTTTCTCTCTACTTTTCCTTTTTGTTGAATGGAGTCTTGCTCTATTGCCCAGGCTGGAGTGCAGTGGCACAATCTGGGCTCACTGCAAGCTCCGCCTCCTGGGTTCACACCATTCTCCTGCCTCAGCCTCCCGAGTAGCTGGGACTACAGGTGCCCGCCACCACGCCCAGCTAATTTTTGGTATTTTTTTTTTTTTTTAGTAGAGATGGGGTTTCACTGTGTTAGCCAAGATGGTCTTGATCTCCTGATCTCATGATCCACCTGTCTCAGGCTCCCAAAGTGCTAGGATTATAGGTGTGAGCCACCGCGCCCGGCCTAGTTTTCCATTTTTACAAAAGACAAATCATGGTAGGACTGATTTGCTTTATTATACTTGGATTGATTTTTTGTATATAGTGTAGCAAGAATAATTTTTTTTTTTTAACATAGACTTTTAAATTGGATTTCATGGGATTTTGTTCCATAGAAGGAATCTCACATAAGAATTTTTTAAAGCTGAGCCAAGCCATGGATTTGGACCATTAAATACCTATGAGTTGTGTGAATTCCTCTCCTCTTCAGGTTCCAAGATAAACTTGGGGCTCCTAAGCCTGTCAGAAAATGGCATTCTTTACTTACCACAGGTCAGGAACCTTGTACAGGGACTGTACAGACAAAGGTATGAAGCCAGTTTTTCCAAGGGGCTTATATTGGCTCCATAAGTCAAGTTTGATTCCTTAAAGGAAAGCACACCATTCCAGTCAAAGCCTTGGTAAAATAACCAGTTTCTCCAATTGTGTCCTGTTACAAATGAAAACAGATTCTTATTGTACTTATGCAAATAACTATTATCATAAATTAAGAATACTCACACACTGGGTACGGTGGCTCAGCACTTTGGGAGGCCGAGGCAGGTGGATCACAAGGTCAGGAGTTTGAGATCAGCCTGGCCAATATGGTGAAACCCCATCTCTACCAAAAAATATAAAAATTAGCCAGGCATGGTGGTGGGTGCCTGTAGTCCCAGCTATTCGGGAGGCTGAGGCAGGAGAATTGCCTGAACCTGAGAGGCGAAGGTTGCTGTGAGCTGAGATCGTGTCATTGCACTCCAGCCTGAGCAACAGAGTGAGACTTTGTCTCAAAAAAAAAAAAAAAAGAATACTTACAAATAATTTCCAAATTATGTAGAAATCAGGTAAAGAGAAACAAAATGCTCCAAATTTTGTTCAAAGGAATATACTTTACTCAATTGTTAAAAGTTGTAAATAGCTTAAAAGTCTTCTTGACTCTGAAAAACAAAACAAAGGATCAGCAACGTTTTAAGCAAAAAGTTAAAAAGATTACTTTAGACTTCTATTAGTTTAGTCCATGCAGTTAATTCCTATTCTGCTTGATATTCAGGAGCGTTTCAGCTCTCCATAAGCCCTGAAAGTTTTCCCTCTATTCTGATGTCACAATCTCCAAAGTTATCAGAAACCTGCATTCAAGAGTACCTTACAGTTTTATAGCTGATTATAAAACCACCTTCTAAAGAGGACCAAAACAAGACAACAAGGGCAGCCATAGTCAAAGACACAATTGACAAGGAAATTTGTTACCTCTGTGTCACACAATAATTTAACATAACAATTATAATTATTACAGATAACATACACTGAGTCATATCAGAATAACAGGAGTTTCCCATAATTTTGGAACACATACCAGTAACATATTTATTCAAATACAGCCCAAAGAAAAACCAAACACGATTTCATATTTGACAATGATTCCTGTGTAATTTCTATATCAAATAAGCCCAACATATCATTTTTTGACTTTAGGGATCCTATTAATAATATCTTAAAGGATTAATTACGTCAGAAAAGACATAATTTATAATTTGATTTTGGAAAGTTTGTCAAATATCAAAGGTTTAAAATACTTGATACCAGGCCAGGCATGGTGGCTCATTCCTGTAATCCAAGCTCTTGAGGAGGCCAAGGTGGGCAGGTCACCTGAGGTCAGGAGTTTGAGACCAGCCTGGCCAACATGGTGAAACCCCATCTCCACTAAAAATACAAAAATTAGCTGGGTGTGGTGGTGCACATCTGTAGTCCTAGCTACTTGGGAGGCTGAGGCAGGAGAATCACTTGAACCCAGGAGGCAGAGGTTGCAGTGAGCTGAGATCATGCCATTGCACTCCAGCCTAGGTAACACAGCAAGACTCCATTTTAAAAAGTAATAATAATAAAAACAAACAAATAAAACACTTGATATCACAAAATGAGATTACAGGCCATTGGAAAGTAAGTCATTCATTTAACCAAATTGATAGAGATTTCAAAAAAAGAGAAAACCTTCATTCTTTGAGAGAGAAGACTTAATTTTCCAAACAGTAAGCCCAAATAAAAATAGCATGAAGTCAATTAAATTTGTTTTTCAAATTTTACCCATATGCTAGTCTTGCATCAGTGTGACTTTGACATTAATGGTTAATTTGTAGAGAAACTGAACTAATTTTATCTCTTAAAATCAGCCCTCACAATCTCACATGCCCAACTCCTCCATGATAGTCCCTGGGCCTTGTGGAGCTGAATGGCTTTAATTTCTGGCCCTGTGTCTCAGGAATGAAGTTTATTTTGATTGGCATCTTCTATGGGGCCTGAAGATGAGGCTTTAATTGCTGTCAATGTTTAAGATTTAGCAAGGGATGGCCGAATATGAACAGCTCCAGTCTACAGCACCCAGGGTGAGTGACGCAGAAGAAGGGTGATTTCTGCATTTCCAACTGAGGTACTGGGTTCATCTCACTGGGACTTGTTAGACAGTGGGTGTAGCCCACACGAGTGTGAGTCGAAGCAGGTTGGGGCATCACCTCTCCTGGGAATCGCAAGGGGTCAGGGGATTCCCTTTCCTAGCCAAGGGAAGCCATAACAGGTGGTACCTGGAAAATCGGGACACTCCCACCCTAATACTGTGCTTTTCCAATGGTCTTAGCAAATGGCACACCAGGAGATTATATCCCATGCCTGGCTTGGACGGTCCCATGCCCACGGAGACTTGCTCACTGCTAGCACAGCAGTCCGAGATTGAACTGCAAGGAGGCAGTGAGGCTGGGGGAGGGGTGTCTGCCATTGCTGAGGCTGGACTAGGTAAACAAAGTGGCTGGGAAGCTCAAACTGGGTGGAGCCCACTGCAGCTCAAGGAGGCCTGCCTGCCTCTGTAGACTCCACCTCTGGGGACAGGACACAGCTGAACAAAAGGCAGCAGAAACTTCTGCAGATTTAAACATCCCTGTCTGACAGCTTTGAAGTGAGTAGTGGTTCTCCCAGTGTGGAGTTTCAGATCTGAGAACGGAAAGACTGCCTCCTCAAGTGGGTCCCTGACCCCCAAGTAGCCTAACTGGGAGACACCTCCCAGTAGAGGCTGACTGACACCTCATACAGCCAGATGCCCCTCTGAGATGAAGCTTCCAGAGGAAGGATCAGGCAACAACATTTGCTGTTCTGCAATATTTGCTGTTCTGCAGCCTCCGCTGGTGATACCCAGGCAAATAGGGTCTGGACTGGACCTCCAGCGACCTCCAGCAAACTCCAACAGATCTGCAACTGAGGGTCCTGACTGGTAGAAGGAAAACTAACTAACAGAAAGGAATAGGATCAACATCAACAAAAAGGACATCCACACCAAAACCGCATCTGTAGGTCACCATCATCAAAGAACAAAGGTAGATAAAACCACAAAGATGGGGAGAAACCAGAGCAGAAAAGCTGAAAATTCTGAAAATCAGAGTGCCTGTTCTCCTCCAAAGGAGCGCAGCTCCTCACTAGCAATGGAACAAAGCTGGATGGAGAATGACTTTGATGAGTTCACAGAAGTAGGCTTCAAAAGATTAGTAATAACAAAGGAGGATGTTCAAACCTATTGCAAAGAAGCTAAACACCTTGAAAAAAGATTAGACGATTGGCTAACTAGAATAAACAGTGTAGAGAAGACCTTAAATGACCTGATGGAGCTGAAAACCATGGCACGAGAACATGACGCATGCACAAGCTTCAGCAGCCGATTTGATCAAATGGAAGAAAGGGTATCAGTGATTGAAGATCAAATGAATGAAATGAAGTGAGAAGAGAAGTTTAGAGAACAAAGAGTTAAAAGAAATGAACAAAGCCTCCAAGAAATATGAGACTATGTGAAAAGACCAATCTACGTCTGATTGGTGTACCAGAAAGTGATGGGGAGAATGGAACCAAGTTGGAAAACACTCTTCAGGAATTTATCCAGAACTTCCCCAACCTAGCAAGGCAGGACAACATTCAAATTCAGGAAATACAGAGAACACCACAGAGATACTCCTCGAGAAGAGCAACCCCAAGACACATAATTGTCAGATTCACCAAGGTTGAAATGAAGGAAAAAATGTTAAGGGCAGCCAGAGAGAAAGATTGGGTTACCCACAAAGGGAAGCCCCATCAGACTAACAGCGGATATTTCAGCAGAAACTATACACACCAGAAGAGAGTGGGGACCAATATTCAACATTCTTAAAAGAATTTTCAACCCAGAATTTCATATCCAGCCAAACTAAGCTTCATAAGTGAAGGAGAAACAAAATCCTTTACAGACAAGCAAATGCTAAGAGATTTTGTCACCACCAGGCCTGCCTTACAAGAGCTCCTAAAGGAAGCACTAAACATGGAAAGGAACAACCGGTACCAGCCACTGCAAAAACATGCCAAATCGTAAAGACCATTGATGCTAGGAAGAAACTGCTTCAACTAATGAGCAAAGTAACCAGCTAACATCATAATGACAGGATCAAATTCATACATAACAATATTAACCTTAAATGTAAATGGGCTAAATGCCCCAATTAAAAGACACAGACTGGCAAATTGGATAGAGTCAAGACCCATCCGTGTGCTGTATTCAGGAGACCCATCTCATGTGCAGAGACACACATAGGCTCAAAACAAAGGAATGGAGGAAGATCTACCAAGCAAATGGAAAACAAAAAGAAAGCAGGGGTGCAATCCTAGTCTCTAATAAAACAGACTTGAAACCAACAAAGATCAGAAGAGACAAAGAATGCCGTTACATAATGGTAAAGGGATCAATTCAACAAGAAGAGCTAACTATTCTAAATATATATACACCCAGTACAGGAGCACCCAGCTTCATAAAGCAAGTCCTTAGAGACCTACAAAGAAACTTAGACTCCCACACAATAAGGGAGACTTTAACACCTCACTGTCAACATTAGACAGATCAACAAGACAGAAAGTTAACAAGGATATCTAGGACTTGAACTCAGCTCTGCACCAAGCAGACCTAATAGACTTCTACAGAACTCTCCACCCCAAATCAGCAGAATATACATTCTTTTCAGCACCACGTCGCACTTATTCCAAAATTGACCACATAGTTGAAGGTAAAGCACTCCTCAACAAATATAAAAGAATGGAAATTATAACAAACTGTCTCTCAGACCACAGTGCAATCAAATTAGAACTCAGGATTAAGAAACTCACTCAAAACCGCACAACTACATGGAAACTGAACAACCTGCTCCTGAATGACTACTGGGTACATAATGAAATTAAGGCAGAAATAAAGATGTTCTTTGAAACAAATGAGAAGAAAGACACAACATACCAGAATCTCTGGGACGCACTTAAAGCAGTGTATAGAGGGAAATTTATAGCACTAAATGCCCACAAGAGAAAGCAGGAAAGATCTAAAATCAACACTTCAATATCACAATTACAAGAACTAGAGAAGCAAGAGCAAACACATTCCAAAGCTAGCAGAAAGCAAGAAATAACTAAGATCAAAGCAGAATAGAAGGAGATAGAGACACAAAAAACCCTTCAAAAAAATTCATGAATCCGGGAGCTGGCTTTTTGAAAAGATCGACAAAATTGATAGACTGCTAGCAAGACTAATAAAGAAGAAAAAAGAGAAGAATCAAATAGATGCAATAAAAAATGATAAAGGGGATATCACCACCAATCCCACAGAAATAAAAACTACCATCAGAGGATACTATAAATACCTCTATGCAAATAAACTAGAAAATCTAGAAGAAATGGATACATTCCTGGACATATACACTCTCCCAAGACTAAACCAGGAAGAAGCTGAATCCCTGAAAAGACCAATAACAGGCTCTGAAATTGAGGCAATAATTAATAGCCTACCAGCCAAAAAAAGTCCTGAACCAGATGGATTCACATCTGAATTCTACCGAGGTACAAAGAGAAGTTAGTACCATTCCTTCTGAAACTATTCCAATCAATACAAAAT